TTTACAAAAAAACATCAAGTGACAAAAATTGTTTATTCTCTTTTCTTTCTCTCGAGAATTTTTTTAGAAATTTTAATACATTTTCTCATTTTGGGTAAAAATAGTTGCCAATACATACACACACACACACACACACACACACACACACACACAAACACACACACACACACACACTCACACTCACACATATATATATATATATATATATATGAAAAGTACTAAAAAATTGACGAAAAATTCTGAAAAAATTCTTAGAGATGAGAAGAAAATAAACAATTTTTCTCTTGCTTTTTCTATAAAGTTGATAGTATTTGAATAAAAAATTATTAAAAATCAATATTCGGTGATTTTAGAAATTAATATCTTGTTATAGCGAAAATTTCAAAATGGTAGAGGATTTTTCGATTCAGTCCGCTCTACCCCTATACGAGAATTTCATCATTATTTATCAAACGTCCTGTATATACTAGTGAATTATCTATTCTAGTTATCTGTTTTAATGCAAATACACATAAATTATATATTTACATTAGATCTTTCTAATAATGATTTTATAAATATAATTTAGGTTTTTTAAATATAATTTCTCAAAATATATCTCTTGAAAATTATCGAGATTTATAAAATAATAGCTAGAAATTCGCGTGTCTTATTGTTCTATATTAATTCACTCACTAATTATTCTCACACATTCTCCAAAGCTTGCATTCGCATTTACCTAACTAAGTCCTTGTTTTATATTAATTAATAATTACATAATGACATATTATTAATCGACATCAATTGCATTATCATTTCTGGCTAGGTATTAAGATATGATTGTCAAAAAATTAATTGTTTATTAAAAGACATTTATATTTTATACCAAAATGTGCTAGAATAAAATACAAAATATCTCTTAAAAATCAATGATTTTTAAGATTTTTCAATATCTCTACCTTTTACATACAGTATAATTAGAAAAAATATTATACAAAGAAATAATATAATTCCACTTAAAAAATTGCTATAACTTTCAACTGATAATGAAAAATCTATTTGGTCTTTATTTATTTGGGCTTCGATAAATCATTTAACATTTGTCTAAATAAATTTTTTGTAGAAGGACATAAGAAGTGGTCATGTGGCCGGTGGCAGATGATGCTTTCTTTCCTGTCGAATTGCTAACTGGATTCGCGTACTTGCTTGTATTAGCTGCAGTGCTGACACAATATGGTAATATGCAAAAAGTATGGTATGCCGCCGGCTTTAGGGACAACCTGTGCATATATATATATACAAATATAACATATATTATGCATATAAAATATATACATACAATGTATACATGTTGCATATAAAATATTTGTATGTTTCTTTCTATTTATATAACGTCTAATATGTAAATTTTATAAATTCTTAGATAATTTATAATCAATAAACGAAATTCAATCTTCTACACTTTGCCCCCTTTTTTAAGGAAAAGCATATAAGGGAGATTATTGAAAGAAATTTATTTAAAAAAGTCGTAAAGATTAACTTAAAAAGAATTAATATACACTTCGATATTTCAGGTAAATTTAATACGATTCAAGGAAAGTATCAATCATTTAAAAGCAAATGTAATACCTTACGGAAATTTCCTTAATGGAATTCTTAATGAAAAAATCTGCGATAGATAATATTTATTAGATGATTATTTAACTATGAACTATTTCCTAAATAGCAATTAAGATATTCTGTTAAATAATTAAACAGTCGTTTGTTAAGAATAAGTTTATTATTTAAATTAATTAAATGAAAATTCTTATAAGTATATGCTGTTCTTAAAAGAAATTATTTTTTAATGTAATTTATAACAAAAAATAATTTATTAAATTATAATCCATTTTTTATATTAAACTTTTATATTAAACTTATATAACATAACAGAGATAAATAATTTTGAAGTTTTTCGATTGAATATTTGCATTAACAAGTAACTTGTACGAATCCAGAATGTATAGAAAAAAATCTTTTCTCAAACGATCTGCGATAGACACATCGATGATTAAGAATTTCATTTCTAAAAATTTGACTACTTAATTCGGTTAATTATTAAAATGGAATCATTTATCGCGTCAATATTTATATGAAATTTTTAGGAAACTGAATAATTAGGCAAAATATTCTCATTGTATGTAATTTTATATAGCCATTTTTTTGCTAATAAGTAGTTTGAGAAAATATATTTTAATATCATGGAATAAAAAAGATTACGTTTTTACAGTATATGTATTTAACTCATAAGAAAGTTGAAGATCTATAATTAAACCAGGAATAGAAAATAAACTTGTAATACCGTTACCTGTACTTTTCCTATAATAACAATTTGATAATGATTTTACAATTTTTTATGATGGTAATGACAACATCAGAATTGGATAAGTCGTATGTAAACTCATTACTAATAAGTTGCGTGACCACATAAAATAATGATGACATAAATACTTTTATACATGTGTGAAGTAATAAGTTAATTTATCAGAAACGCATAATGGTAACAAGTTATTCTTCAAAAGTAACTTTCTTTAGCATTATCATTATCTGTCATGAAAAAGAAATTGTAAAGTAAATACATCAAGTTGCTCCTTGTCCTGAAGAGGGGAACTGCAAGGTTCACAAAACGATGACATTCCAGAATGGATCACGGAAAAAACCCATGAAACGCATAATCTTTATATAGCAAGGACCCGTGGAAGTCTCAAGAATATTATTAAATACAAAATTGCTATAAAAAATAACGGTAATGCGAGATCTATCAATAAGAGTCGCAGACGGTCATAGAGTCTTAAGTCGTAGGAAATTGACCAACACAGTCAAATATGAGGAGAATAATCGATTGGTCAATTTTCTAGACCCTACAACCATCTCCGATTCCTATAATAGAATCGGCCACTTAATGTGTTACTTCCCATCCTTGGTTAAAATAATATGAAATATTTATATCGCACTGGAAAATATTGTTGTGCGTACTTTTAAATATATTTTTACGTAAAGAATGCGTAACCCTGTGTATATGAGTCATTTAAAATCTTACATAAAATTTATTTATTAGGCGAAGATTAGATAATATTAACTCAGTATAAAATAATAAATTTGGAGCCCAAAGTATTGTATCGTAATGAGACAAATACGAAAGAAAAGGGAAGGCATGCTGCAATCTTAGGTGCGAAAATAAATGTGCAAATAACAAAATTCAGTTGTGAATATAATATATAATATAAGGGGCCGTCCATATATTACGTAAGCATAATTAGGAAAGGGAGAGTAATACGAATGCTTATGAATGAGGAGGAGAGAGGAAGGAGTCGTACATATCCCTATATGAAACATTTTTATTTGCTGCTGAAAAAACGATGAATATTATTTGCAAAAAAGTTTTGAATCTGTTCATGATGCAGTGACATAGATATACAGTTATATTGTTGAATGGAAAATTACAACTTACATGTAACATGATGTTTGCTAAGAAGGTTGTTTTAATCTATTGTATTAAACCAATTTAATGTAATGCAAAAAGTGCAATTCAGCATTAAGGAAAAAAATTATACAGTAATATAAAAGAAAATATTAATTTTGCCAACAACATATTGTATTTATATATTTATTGTCTCACAATATATTTTAGATTAAAAATATACTTAATTTGCTGACATTATTAATAATAGTTCGTTTTGGCACAATTTTTTCAATGAAATCGTATGATTCGTTTAATAATGTTGAAAAAAACGTATTATTGCGTTGCAATTAGTTTTAATATGACAAAAAAGTCAAGTCAAAACTGTCAATGATATCAGCAAATTAGACTTTTTTTGCATGGCATGAAAAATCTTACGTAATTAAAGGGAGTGGGGAGCCTTCAGAAATTTTTACACTTATTTACATGGAGGAGAGAGGGGGTTAGAAATGGCCATAAATTTGCTTATGTAATATATACATGGACGGCTCCTAAGAATAATCTAATAAAAACCATGTATGATATGTGTGCTAATGTGTTTCAATGGTGATCTTCAATGAGTTAATTAGGAGAAATATACTCTCTCCCAGTGATCTTTGAAGATTACGATTTCATATATCGAAATATCGCAGCGAAATTCGCGAAAATGAATAGGCTATACCGTCTGTAGTATTAAATGTAATGTAGTATTAAATGATTGTGATTAGGTAGAAAAAATTGCGTCTCAGTAATTAATTTTCAAGTTGATAAGAAAAGTAGCTAATGTCTGTCATTATGTTTTCAATCATATTGCCTTACTTTAAATAAATAATGTGCAATTAAAATGAAAGATTTACTTTCTCATTACAAAATACATATGTTGCAAAATGTGTGCCTATATAGGGTGTTCTAATTGTCAAATATTTCATGTGCTGGTATAGAGAGGACCAAATTGAGACCAAAAGTCCTCTACCATTTTGCAATTTTCGCAATAATTAATAATATATTAATTATTAAAAATCGCTGAATATTGGTTTTCAATAATTTTTTACTTAAGTAAAATTAAAACAATAATATTAATTAATTTATTCTATTCGAGCCTTATTCAATTTAATTGTTAAATAAATTAATTAATAATATTAATTTAAATACATTATATTTCCATTTTTTGTTTTTTAGTTTTATAAATCAGAACTGATTAGGAAGTTACAATAAGAAGTTTCAGAACTGCAATTCTGCGTGATTATTAATTACATTTAATTGGATTTTAGATCCCAATTTAAGATGTTACGATATTTCTCATTATATTTTTTCTTATCTTTAATTTATTATTCCACTTCTTGTTTTAAATCCCTCTCTGTATAGTTACATTGCTGTCTGATTGATGAATGTGAGCTTCCCATTTGAAATTGCATAAGTATTACCAAATATGTCACCACTGTGCCAATTAGCTGAGAAAGATAATCAAAATTATTAATTAAAAAAATTTAATTTATTAAATTACTTACATGATATTTTTAATATTCTCACCGAATGAAGAAAAGTATTATCGAGCATAAAATATCCGTTAGCTGTAAACTGTATTTTGCGATGTAGCAACTGAAGCGAAAATTTCTTGAGCTGAAACATATTTATGATAAATGTCGTTTGATGAATACCCTTCCTGAAAAAGTTTTATCTAACTTTGTTTTTTACCTCTGCTTTTATCTCTTTCCCGATTGCACAGTTTAAAAGATCATGCACTATATTACCCGTTTTCTTCATCTACAATAAATTTGTAATAGAAATATTTCGTAAAATATTTGGGATTTTATTTACTGATAAAAATATTTTGTTTCATCGATTAAAACAATCTGATTAAAATGCGATTAAAATCTTATTATATTGATTATTCTACCTCGATTAAAATTCTGGTAATTCTACTGGTGAGGAGAGAGATGGGATAAATCAGAAATATTATCCAAACGATGACATCAATAATATTATAAGAATAATTTAAGATATCATCAGTCAACAGAAACGAGAGGAAATAGTAGCCATTATATATGAGTGTCAGAAAGAAAAAAACAATGCCGAATAATAGTGGTAGTGAATAGAAACTCGACGCATCCTCAGAGATTTTACAGAGATGGCAATGCACATCTCGCAATTGCAACCGTTGATGAATGGTCGAATTGTTGACTATGATACGTGTTCGATAGAGAGATTGCAGTTGAAGATCAGATGTATTGATTCTGATGAGACTTTGTATCGCTCGATTCACATCAGCGAAATCTGTCTGAATGACCGTCACCAAAAGGAAGTACTGTATCAATAGCCAACCCACGTGAAATGTTGGCAAAACATCTGTTAACCATGAGACTGGGCCTGTATGTATGGTAAAGATCTCAGTGAACAGAAGAAGTATCAGCAGGCAAATCTTCAAGATGCAAACGATGATTATAGTGTAGAAGATACGCTGTCGTTGTAGCGGATAATATAGATCATACAAACGATCTATCTCGTGCTCGATGGTGATTAATCGATTGGCGATCCGCACCAAGGACTTCTGGTTGATGCAGTAGCTAATCAAAGTCACGCAGATCATCAGGGCACCAAGTACGGTTTGTAGAACCGCGATGCATACAGACAAATTCGTCTTGATCTTGTAGTTCCAATTAAGTCTCAATGGTATAGACATATAGTTCGATGCTATCATTAAACTACTCAGTATAATATTATAAACGATTCCTAATTTGGAATATTGAAATGTGTATGACATTCTCTTTTCGTATATGACGATTTGATGGGCGAATGTAGCGAGACCAATCAGCTTGAAGAACACTATCAATATTCTGAACGTCCAAAATAAATCTTGATGTAGTTCTGATTTTATTTTGTTCACTTTCTGTTCACTATTTTTTTCTGCAATAGAATTCTCTTTATTTCTAAAGGAATTTGAGATTTTATTGACGTCCATGGAAGTTGAATTCTTAATCGAAGACATTTTGCAATGACTATCTTCTTCCATAATTTTTTAATTCCAGTTAATGTTTACTTCTTTTCTTCATTAAGTCTTGTCAATTTATTCATATTACCTTCTGTTTCGTAATTTATAAGTATTTTCTTTAGGAAATTTTCAGTTTAATCTTCTTAATATTTTTTTTTCAAGACATTTGTATATAAAGATTTTTTTAATTTGTATAATTTAAATACACTTTTTTTTACTAAAATGTTTCGCATAAATCATTCATAAATATATAATTTAAGAGGCGTCCATTTTATTTTATCGATGTCTATCCAATTGCTTTGTATCCAAATTAATTTCGACCGTTTGAACATCATATACAACTAATTGCGAATCCAGTAAACGTGTGACGTGTTGACGTGTATTTTTGATACCTTAGCGCCGAGACACTACCAGTCCTTCCAAATTGACATTACATTATATACTTCTCTACAAAGTAGCACTGAACATGTAGCGATGCTTCTACAAACCTTTTTCGTAAGCATCTGCAAAACATTATTAAATATTAAATTTATAGAAATTATAAACGCGTGATAAGGAATACGAAGTCGATAATTTAGCTTTGTTTTATTCAATATGGATCCTGATGAAAATAGCCGATTGTATTATACAGTATTATTGTTAGAATGTTTATTGTTAGAATATTCACTGAAATATTTATCATCTATATGTATATAT